GGTTGGGGGTTGGGTTGGGGGAGTTAAAAAATGAGTTGGCGTAATATAGTAGTTCCCAAAATAATAGCCAAAAAACTATAATTTATATATATATTTGTATGTTATATACAAAAAATATACAAATTTGATATGCTTATATACAAGGAGCGGAGGAAGGGTGTTATCTACGTGTTCGGATGAACCCATTAACTTTTTGTTTAGACCCTATATTTGTACTGAAAAACTATTAAATATGTATAGACACTTATTGAAAGCCCAGTAACTAACAAGCTATGGGTTCGATTGTAAATTCAAAACTCATAAATTTTAAATTCTGTCTCCACTTCTATTTTTATGGTTACTGAACGTCAATAGTTTCGGCCGCGGACTAAAAATGATGATTGCCCGAAAAAAGAAGAAAGAAAAAGGCTTCATCAAGTGCAATGTATATATATTACCTTATTTAGGTGAATTTCATATAGGAGGGAATTTAAGAGAGAGAGAGAGAGAAAAAAAACTCGTAGAAGGGTGCAACAATGGCGTCCCAAAGAGCTTATAATTCAATTTTCTTGAGCCAATTTCTGCTTATTATTCTCTCTTTAACTATCACCATTAATAATGTTGCAGCTTCTTTAACAAAAGAACAAGAATTTGATCGTATAATTTCACTTCCGGGACAACCTCCGGTGACTTTCTCACAGTTTTCCGGCTACGTTACCGTCAATGAAAACCATGGAAGAGCTTTGTTTTATTGGTTGACAGAAGCTACTACTCAACCAGAAAAGAAACCTCTTGTTCTTTGGCTTAATGGAGGTTAGTCTAATATTTATTTTAAATTCTTTNATATATATATGGCGAAGGAGTTCAACTGATCATCCTTTATCACTAACTATACTTTGTCAAGGGCGAAGCTACATTATCCAAAGGGTGGTTAATTGACCACCCTTTGTCGAAAAATTATACTATTTATATAGATAAAATATTAGGTTTTAGAGGTGTATAACATATTCTAAACACCCGTTGTTGGATTTTTTTTTGCTTCTTTCATGTTTGATCCCACACTTTGCCAGGGGCGAAGCTATATTTATTAGACCATTCTTCGTCGAAAAATTACACTGTATTGTGTATATAGATAACATATTAGGTTTTAGAGGTGTATATCATATAACGAACATCCATTGTTGATTTTTTTTTTTAAAAGTTTGAACACCTTTGAAGAAATTCTTGACTTCATCGCCTCACTTCGGACGGTAGATGAGCTTGGTGGAGGTGTTATCCTTCCAAATTAAAATACAATGAATTAGTATTGGTAGAATCTTAAAATATTTTCTATATTTAGTATGTTACAAAATTTTAAAGTAATTTAAAAAGAATTTGAAGAAGTTGTATTTAAATAGTTAGTTGAATAAATTTGATTACTTTTGAGAAAAACTATATTACTGATTCTTGGATAAAACTTTTTTTGTGTAATTGAGGTTTAATGCATAATAAGGAAACCATAAAATAAAGGAAATCCTATATAATTGCAAGAAACTTGAGGAAGAAGAACCATAACTTTTCTTTGAAGAAAAAATAAACAAATCATTAGCGTTTATCCATGCAAAAATATTGGTATTTAGTCAAAACTAATTAAAATCTAGTATGTCTTACGTCAAAGCAATAATTGTTAAATGATAATTAAATAAGGACAAAGACATGATACATGTGCTTATGATTAAGGTTCAAACATAAATAATAATAATACTCATAGCTTTCATCTTAACACGTAATATACATTCACTTTTTCACTTCTCCAAAATTAATATAAAAGAAAAAAGTTAAATTATGTTTACTTGGCTCATGAAAAGTGGTGGATGGGTTCAACCACTACTTCCTATCCCTTTCCCTTAGTTCCAATTATTAAACTTTATTTTTTTGGATTTTTTTTTGGATTAATTGTTGGTGTTCGAAATTCACTGACCCGACTATTCTTTAAAATGTCCACTATGGAGGATTTATAGGTCTATAGCAAAATGATGTCATTCTTAGAGCTCGGATCCGAAACCTCTAATACGTATTATACTTTCCAAAAAGGAGTCCCTCTCTTTAATGGGACTCATCCTAATTCTCAAATTCCAATTAACATGAAATGACAACCATTAAATTGCTGAGGCAAATCCAGAGCAGATTTACCAAGTTCAACTGAACGCATTACTTTTATATACAATCAATCAACTTTTATTACCTTACGTTAGTGAACTCTCCAAAGATATTGTCATATTTGTGGCAAAACTTCAAAAAATACAATTTTTTTGAAATATGTGACACACATCCGATGATATTTTTAAAGAGTCCAAACAATATAGGTAGATTTCTTGATCACTACTAGAAAACTGCCTAAAACTGTCCAGAAATACCGAACAAATCAGTCGAAAAACTGGAAAAATCGACCGATTTCCCACTGACTTTAATCCTTCGAAATTAGGCTGGTCGGTAATGAATAGCGATCGTAGTCGGTCGCAATTTTCGACCTAGTTCGTCGGTCAATTAAATTGCACAAACGACCCAAAAGAAAAAATCTATCGAAAAAATATCGGTCAACATTTTGAATTATGCAATACAAAAAATACTCCGTCTAGGAATCGAACCAGGATCCGTATTGTAGAAGGATACTATTCTACCACTAGACCATTGGTACATTTTGGTTTAAGACTTTCTTTTATTTTATTTGTAGTCTTTAATTGCATTTTCGCGCGAAAATAACGATCGATTTCGGCCGGTTGTTTGAATATTAATTTTAATTTATTTATATGAAAAACCGATCGATTTCGATTGGTTTCTTAAAAAATAAATTTCGCGGGATGCAAAAATAGTTTTCAGCATTTTTTCGCCAAAAAAAATCGACCGAAGTTGGTCAATTTCGTAAAAAAAAATATTTGAAAAAACAAACGACTTCGGTCGATATTTGATCGATCGAAGTCGGTCTATTAACCGCGGTCGATTTTGGCCGAATTTCTAGCAGTGGATCTACCACAAGAGTAAACTAGTCGTATTCACTAGCAAAATCCACTACGAGAAGCCAAAAATATGCAGATGTCACCTTTCAGATCTTGTGGAATAAAGGTGGCAAAATATATACTATGGTATATTATAGGTATATTTTTGGCAGTTTATATATAATACAAAATTGAAGAAAAGAAAAAAATAATGAATTAGAAGGAAAAGGAAAGATCAATACATAAGTGCTCGTGATACCATTCTGTCCCCTTACTTTTTATTCCTTCTTATTACTTCATCTTCTAAGTTTTATTCCTTGTTTGTATTTACGTATTCAAAAAGCTGCATTTAGGTTTATGCCTTTTTGTCTTTATCTTTACACAATTTGATAATATACAAACAAGAACAACATTCCAAACTCAACATAAAAGTAGAATACCTTTCCCTCTTTTTTTGTCCTACACTCTTTCCATTTTCTAGCATTTACGTCCAACTTTTCCTATAATCTTTTTAAAACAGGAAAAGATCCCCACGCAAATTTAAAAAAAAATAAAAAAATAAAAAATAACTTCTCTACCATAAAAAAGGAAAAAAAATGTAAAGTTTATGATAAATACAAGCAAATATAAGTACAGTCAAATTTCTTTATAACAGTCTCGTTTGTTTCGATGTTTTTTGACTGTTATAGTGAAGTGTTGTTATATAGGACATATATTATAACATTACATAAAAATCGTTCCGAAAAAAACTTGACTTCTATAATGAATGGTTGTTATATATATAGAGATGTTGTTAAAGGGATGTCGACTGTATTAATTAGTAATAATTGTGTAAAGGTGATAACTAACCTGCTATTCCACGACTAGTGTACGTACCTTAAATCCTTTTCTCATTTCCCAAGTATAGAAAATTTGGTGATAAACCTGTAAAAATATATTATCCTTTTGTTTTTTTGAGTCCTAGTCAGTAAGCTGAATATTTCAAAGATAATTAAATTAGAGTTTAAGTTTTATGCACTTACAATGTAGAAAATATTTTTACAATTAGATTATTTATAAGGTACTTATAAATAAATATCTTGAACTGATAAAAATCAATAACTTATGTGCTACACCGGTTAACTTATAAGTAATTATAGATAAATTTATAAATAAGCATTAATTGATTATCTTTAAAAAATTATAAATTATCTGCTTTCACAAGCTAAGTTACTCTTACCCTATATTAAAATTTTATATTGTCAGTATATATGTGTGCCGATCTTTATTGTTCCTGACCGCCTGCCGTTCAGCCTTAGCGTTCCAAATAATCAATAGTGTGACCGTTCTGTATTCAAAACAATCGATGACACTAGTGACGATTCGTGGGACCCCCACGCCGCCTTCGTCTCCTATTATAGTCGCTTTCTTTATATGGCAAGCACTACCAGTCGCCTGCACTACATTGTATGATGAAAACTTTGCCTAACGGCCACTTCCGCTCTGACCGAGCTAACCGTCACGCTTGACTTCTATCTCCCATTATATATATATTTATATATTTATTTTTTTTAAAGATTGGAAAGATAGGTTTTAAGATGGTGACTATTTAAAGCTTTGAGTGTTGAGAAGCATGCGTAGTAAATAGTGGTGTCATGATGATGGCCAAAAGTCGACTAGTTACACTATTCTCATTTCTGACCTATGACGCTAAAATTTATTTTTTGGTGAATTTTATGTGAGTTATCATTATTAAACAAAAAAGAGAAAAAAGCAATATCTCAAAGGAAAGGAAAGGTCATTGTCTTGTGATTTAATAATTGAAGCTAACTGTTGCAAAATTAAAAATAATAAAGAAAAAAAAAGTAATAAATGATAGAAAGGAGATAGTAGGTGACTAGTTATGGCAGATTGTTATGTTCAACTCATTAATGGTGGTTAGTGACATTATGAGAATCATGTGTTTTCTACATCTTCTATCCAATACAATTGTGTTTTCTTTTTATCATTTGTATTCCATACTCTCTTCAAAACCCTAACTAATTCGAATTTGCGCGGAACAAAATTTATTGAAAGAAAAAACGCTTCCTATCAAAAAAAAATTATTTTTTGGGTTCGAACACAAGATCTCTGGATAAAAGTGGAGAATCCTATCGACTTCACCACAAGTCTTGATGGTCAATTGTCTCAAAACAATGGCTAAGATGCTAAAACCCAATACTTAAATATATAGACATGACATCGTTTAACTAAGATTAGAATTTTATTTGTTTGCACTTAATGAAAGCCTGAATCTTAAGAATAAATATTATAGTACATCCTATGCTTCAGTAGGGGTAAGGCTGCTTACATCTTACCTTCTCCAAACTCAACTCGTAGGAATTTACTAAGTTTGTTGTTGTTTTTATCCTACGATTCAGTACTAGCAATATTTATGAATAAGCATGAAGGTTTATTGAATTTCAAAAAAAAAAAAAAAACTACAAAATTAGATAGCCTGAAAATTTTTCTTTTGATTATTTCTTTTTTTTTTGTTGAGAAATTTGTAAAAATTTGAACCATGCAGGTCCTGGTTGTTCATCAGTAGCATATGGGGCATCAGAAGAAATAGGTCCATTTAGAATAAATAAAACTGGTTCTTCTCTCTATTTGAACAAGTATTCATGGAATAAAGGTAACACTATTTTTATTTTTTATTTTCTCTTTACTTTTTTTATATTATTTTCACATCAAGAAAAAAAAAAGGAACTAAGACTTTGAAAAATTCTTAATAAATATAGTGGCAAATATTCTCTTTCTGGAATCACCAGCTGGTGTTGGGTTCTCTTATACAAATACAAGCTCTGATCTTAAGGATTCTGGAGATAAAAGAACAGGTACATATACATTTCTTGATATTCATTTTTCAATAATTACATCTAGGATGATCTTACAAAATTGTATATCATTATATATAGTTTAACTTATAATTTACTGACAGTATAAAATAATTTGTACACTATCATGTCACTCAAAGATGACTACAGGTAATGTTCTCAATAATTTTCACCAGAGGAGGACGAGCGGACTGCCCAACCAGTTACCCGATATGACTTTTAATTTTAAGAGTTACAAGTAAAATATATGATCGTTTATGTATATATATTCAGAACTTTTATCGAAGTTAACGCGGCCCAATGACCCCTCTACTCCAAACATAGGTCTGCCTATGATTTTCACATTGTCGTGATATATAATTTAAATCCTTGTATGTAACCTTAATACAATTTTTATTTTATTTTGTGGTTTGTAAAAACCTCCCAATACTTAAAAAAAACTTTAATCTATTAATTGAAGAAAAGGAAAACACAAAGTGAGGGGAAAAAAGAAGTAAGGTATTTGGGCATAATTTAATTTTTAGAACTGTTCATTTGTTTTGACACAGCTCAGGATGCACTAATCTTCCTCACAAGATGGATGTCAAGATTTCCACAGTATAAATATAGAGATTTCTATATTTCTGGGGAGAGTTATGCAGGTAATTTAAAAAATAAAATTAATTTCCTAGTTCCAAAAATAAATTTAACATAGCTACCATGTTCTTTTGTTTTGTCAGGGCATTATGTTCCCCAGTTAGCACATGCCATTGTCAATTATAACAAGAAATTTCCACATCCAATCATCAATCTCAAAGGAATCATAGTAAGTAATTCATCTTATTAGTAAAAATCTTCTTTCATATAAGGGAAACTTGCACTTTTATCCCTCCTATAACTATAAAGTCTAAATTTAGACCATGGGGTGTACATGGACAGGGTTGGTTCGGTTTTATCAAAATCAAATCAAACCAACTATATCGGTTTGGACTGGTTTGGTTTTGTCGGATTTTTTGGATTTTCGGATTTTTTTGTTATATGAATATTGTTTCAATCTTCCTTTATTAAATTTTTGATAAGTAAATATATGATCTATTAAAATATTCTTATAGAAAAATTTTCTTAGTAACACATGATAGTTATTTTTTAATCGTCTGACAATAATTTTGGGATGATGTAAACTTTCAAGATTAATCGAATTTAATAATTAAGCATAAAAATAAATATGAACCTATGTAATGATATGTCCTATTTAATTTTAAATTATTGAAATACCATTTCAAATTCGAAAAGATATAAGAATTTAACAGATCTTGACATATAAATATAGAAGAACAAAGAGATTGACATATTTCACTAACACTTGATAAGAAAGTGACCATACAACCCATTATTTAAAGTTAATAAATATGTAGCACTTCATATTTAACTAAATATTACATCCTATAAGAGAATCGCAAATATTTCTAAATATTTTTTGAAAACAAATCTATAAAAAATCTTAAAAGTATATATAAAAATTATTTATTTATATATCGGTTTGGTTTGGATTTTTTGCTTAATACCAAACCAAATCAAACCAAACCTAATCATATTTTTTAATCGGTTTGGTTTGACTTTTCGGTTTGGTGCGGTTTTCCAGTTTGGTTGTACACCCCCTACCGGTGACTCCTGGTTAAGCATATCGAACGTTCAATTAATCTTTGCTTATGAATCTTCACAAATTTAATGAATTTTTAAGTGCTAAACCATTTAGTTACCGATTTATTATGTTAAATTAGTACCGTTTCTCCATATTCGAGCGTAATATAATTCTAAAAAGAGTTTAAATATCACATATTTCCTATATTAGGGGGACCAAACTCACACATTTAAACTAATTGAAGGCTAAACGTGCTTCGCCAGTTGTTACATTAACCAAAATTAGAATTTACCAACAATCGAGGGACCAAAAGTGCAATTTATCCCTTCACTTAAAGAGAAATTATTTTACAGACTGAAAACTTGATATCTACACAGGTAGGAAATGCTGTTACTGATAACAAATATGATGGCATTGGAACTGTTACATACTGGTGGAGCCATTCTATGATTTCAGACAATACTTACAAAAAAATCATGCATTCTTGCAATTTCACATCAGAAAATTCCTCAAAGCAATGTGATAATGCAGTAACTTATGCTGTGAGCCATGAATTTGGTCAAATTGATCAGTACAGCATTTACACACCATCTTGCAATGAAACTCAGAAATATGTTCGGTTCAAGAACACGATTATTCATCGAAAACTCTCGGGCTATGATCCGTGTACTGAGAATTATGCAGAGAAATACTATAATCGCGCCGATGTGCAGAGAGCCATGCATGCTAATACCACAGGAATTTCATACAGTTGGACTGCATGCAGGTACTTGTACTTTTACATGCAAACACAGGTTTAACGTGAATTCTGTAAGTTCAACTCAACATATTGCTTTCAACTCAAATTATGGATATATATATATATATATATATATATATATATATATGCAAAAAGCTTTCAAAATATATACATGAGATAAGATTACATTCATTCTGAATTCACTAGCTCTAAATTCCTGATTTGCCACTTTCTATATGCCTAGCTCATTCATGCATACAAGGTATAAGTTTATTCACACTACTATATATGTTGCAAGAAGCATATTTAGGACGGATATTCTGTGGGTTCAATTGAACCAGTCAGTCTCGGCTCAAACTATGTGTACTCCATTCGAGGAACATGGAGACTAGTTGAAGTACTGAGGCTCAGTACTTCAATTGAGATAATGAAAAATTATTTCACCTTTTTAGTTCTTTTTAGTTGGAACTTTAGGCGGTTCTCGAAAAAAGATAGCGAAAAAAATTATCCCTAGAATCGAGACTAAAAGGAATGTATAAACCAATGCTTCCATAAATTCAATCGTGGTTTACAATTATAGCTTTCATACCTGTTTGTTTCTTTTTATTTTCATTTTTTTATCATCTTCCGGATAAAGAACGAATAAGAGTAAAAACAAAGTTGATTCAAATAAAGAATCTGTGGTACCCTATGTCAATAAAAGTAAAAGAAAGAAAATAAGGGTGAAAGAAAGATACCAAAGCAATATTGTATCAGGCTGCCTGTCTTTTTGTAGTTGGATCTCCAAGTTTTTGGAATGCTCTAGACTTGAGCATCTAAATCTGGGTCAATATATAGGAAAATTTTGAAATGTTATTATATATTATAAGATCATAATCATTCTATTTTCATTGACTCTAGAATTTGGAGGAACTTAGAAAGCAATTAGTTTTTTACTTTGATCTATGCCTATAAACTAGTCCTTGGTATGCTTTAATTTCCTCTCCCTCTCTATCTGTCTTTCCACTAAAGTATGCATTAGTTAATTTGCATCTGAATAGTGGAAAAAGAGAAGATAGGAGTCTTTAAATGGATATTTGACAGCTTTCCTTTTCTTTTTTGGACAACAGTGACATATTGTTAAAGAATTGGAAGGACTCTGATGATTCAATGCTACCAATCTATAAGAAGCTAATGGCTGCTGGTCTTAGAATATGGGTTTTCAGGTAAAACAAATGCTCCTAGTTAAGAGTGTGTTGCTCGAATTCTCCAAAAATATCAGTGGATGTGTGTCGGATCCTCCAAAAGCAATATAATTTTGAAGGATCTGACACTGGTGCGGCGGCATTTTGGAAAGTCTGTGCAACATTGTTGCAGTTGAGACTCTTAAGAGTTTTATAGATGTACTACTAGAGGTGTTCATGATTCGGTTTGGATCGTTTTTTTTCCTAAAAAGAAACCAAATCAAGTAAGTCGGTTCTTAAAAATGTTGGAACCAAACTAAACCAATTAAGTCGGTTTTTTATCGATTCGGTTTTTGTCGGTTCGGTTATTTATAGGGTTTTTTCTTAAATATGAGACATACACTACCACACATATTCCGGCGACTACATTTTCAACATAACACTATCAAATCAATTGCTCTTTAAGAAATCTATCATTTACCAAGATATATTAATTATAATTGAATCAAATAGTGATGAATAATTTAAGTACTCAATTAAAAATCAATTATTTTTAACATGAGATAAATTCTTGTACTTAGCAAAAGAAAATTACCAATCAAACTAGAATGTAAAGGCAAAAAATTAGATTATTGTAATAGCAAAAAATTAGACTAAAAATACAAACGACTAATATGCACCATAACATTTAGAAACTTTATATAAAAATATGCATATATATAGGTGTAATAATATATTTAAATAGTTACTTCTATAGTCGGTTTGGTTCGGGTTTTTTCGGTTATTTTTTGATTAAAACCAAAACCAAATCAAATTTGATCGGTTTTAAAATTCAAAACCAAACCAAACCTAAAAAATATTAATTTTTTTGGTCGGTTTGGTTTGATTTTTCGGGTTTTTATCAACACCCCGTACTACAGAGAAGAAATTAGTCAGCATAGGAAATAATGGTTTAAGTTTAAAAATGCAGTGGGGATACAGATTCAGTGGTTCCAGTGACTGCCACAAGGTTCTCTTTAAGTCATCTCAATCTCAAGATTAAAACTCCATGGTATCCTTGGTATTCTGGAGCTCAGGTAACACACAAATCTACATATTTTGAATATTCTACTAAAGTTCAAGATTGATTTTATATCATACTATATATACATATGCGGAAAAAAAAAATCAATTGTATACGTATAATAAGATCAAACTTATCTTGAACGCACTGACTTTAATTTAGGAGTGTGTTTTTTACGAGGAAGTCATTTTCTAATTTTTCGTTGACAACTTGACTTGCTTATGAGTGGAAGTCATTTTTCTTTCAACAATGTAGACTTAAAACTTTATATTACTTGTTTCAACTAATTGTTAGACATTAAAACACAAAAATTTCATCAAAACACTCCTTGTTTGCTGAAAGTACTATACATGATCTTTAATTTATTTATTTTTTGGAAAACATTTTCCATTCACCAATCAAAAATCAATTTTTTTTTTTCTAGAACAATATTTTCCTCCATGGAAAATGACTCTCGTCGTACTAAAGACACTCTGGATCCTGAATTCGCCTCTGAAAATGAATATCGCAATTTTTGTAGGTGGGAGGGTGGACAGAGGTGTATGATGGACTCACATTCGCAACGGTTAGAGGAGCTGGACATGAAGTTCCATTGTTTCAGCCCAGAAGAGCATTTATTCTTTTTCAGTCATTCTTGGCTGGAAAAGAATTACCAAAAAATTGAGATTTATTCATCAAAATTGCAGCTTGAGAAGTTGTAGGGCAAAAGGCAATTTATAGCTCCTAAGAAATTATGGGAGTTTGCAAATTAGAGTTAGAATTGATTCATTTCAAATTGTGTATTTGAAACTCATCATTTCTCATTTGACCAGAAATGATTCTCTAAGAGAATCAGCTCTATTAAATAATTTCTTCAGATGTCTACAATTCTCAAAGCAACTACTTATTCGTATCAATTCTCTATCAAGATTGCCCAAAAAAACAAAGATAAGAAAATGTGTGAAGCCATAGCACATTTTAGTACTTTCTTCTGTGCAATCAAACAGAGCTTTTCTAGATCCTGCGAATATTTTGGGTGTGCGAACAAAGTGGCATGTTAAGAGTGTCTTCGAATCGGCTTAGCTCAACAAACAATTAGAGGAATTAAATTATCAAAATTCAAGAAGAAAGTTGGCCAGATTCAAATATTGTAAATTTAACTCTGTTGTTGGGAAAAAATAAGTTTAATTGTCACGACCCAAAATTCCACCACAAGAGTTGTGATGACACCTAGTCTCTAAGACTAGGTAAGTCGATTTTTATTTCATTTTTGAAGCCATTTTTTTTTTGAATTAAATAAGTAACCAAAACTAACAGCGAAAATAATTACAATATACAACATCTCAAGACTGATAGTATTGAGTCACGAACTCTAACTGAATACATAGAATGATCACGATGACTGAATATACAATACTGTTTGATTACAAGTTAACAGTACAATGAAATGAAAGAACTCCAAGGAACTGCGACGATCAAGCAGCTTTACCTTGAATCCTTACGATCCCGCTTTAACTCTCCTCAAGTCCGTTGTCTTCAATATATGGCTCTGCACAAAAATGTGCAGAAGTGTAGAGTGAGCACACCACAGCGGTGCCCAATAAGTATCAAGACTAACCTCAATGGAGTAGAGACGAGGTACAGTCAAGACACTCACTAGTCTAATAACATGTGCAATATAATATACAAAATAACAGGGAACAAATAATAATAAGGGCAGGATAAAACAACCAGTAATATGCACAACAGACAACAAGAATATCATTAATATCACTCAACAATTAATAAATACAATTACACCCAATTAAATCAAGCCCTTCAAATAAATATATTTCACATAGTTCTTCCAGATAACTCTCTTTCAAATATAATTTTCTCAAATAATTATTTTTCAAATATAATTCTTTCAATAAATCTTTTCAAATACAATTTGCTCAAATAAATATCTTTCAATATACCATTCTTTTATATAATACTTTCTAAGTAAAAATTCTTCCAAATAATTATTTTGAATATAATTCTTTCAATTAAAAAAAATCAACATGTGACACCTCATTTCAAAATCATCAAAAATACGGGTCTCAGTCCATTTTCATATTTTTCGTAAATACGGGTCTCAGCCCATTTTTATATTTTTCGTAAATACGGGTCTCAGCCCATTTTCATATTTTCACGGCACCTCATGCCCATAATTAAATCATCATATTTACCCGGCACCTCGTACCCTCATTTCATATCACGACTGCACGGACAATTCATGTACCAAATATCATTATCATTTCATCACAGTACCTCATGCCCACATTTTTATATCACAACTGCACGGACAATTCACGTGTCAATATCCCCATCTCATATCACAATTCACGGCACCTCGTGCCCACATTTTATTTTATAAACCGCCTGGCAATAGCCACAGGCTCCCAATTTCAACATAAATCAGATTATTATCAATTTACTAACAACTAGACAAGTTGCACAAGGTATAAAAATAAATACAAGAAAATCACATCACATGAAAATTGTCAACACCACAACCCCACGTCATCACATATCGTCCCTGACAATAGCCACCCTTATCGCTCCTATTGCCACCCTTATCGCTCCTATAGCCACCTTTATCGCTCCGCCTAGACAATATCAATAGCCACCCTTATCGCTCCTATTGTCACCCTTATCACTCTTTTAGCCACCCTTATCGCTCCACCCAGACAATATCAATAGCCAACAAACACAACAGTGAAATGCCACCCTTATCTCCCCAAAATAACAACTCACACAACACAACATTTTACATGAGAAATTATCACAACAACATAACAAAAATTAATTCATATCATAATTTTTCCAATAGCCACAACCAAATTTCAAAGCTACAACCAAGTCAATTAATTTCACAGCAAATAGCCAAATGCTCCACACAATATGTACAACACCCATAAACAATCAATAGAGATAGAAATTACTCAACATAAAGCAAAGTCTTCATAAAAGATCAAATTTTTAATAATTATATAAACACCTCTTTTTAAGCTCATTTAATTAATTATTTGCAGAGAAAAAAATTCAAAATAAAATTAAATTCTAATAATTATCAAACAAGCAAATTCATGAAATTTCATAAATAATCAAATAACAATCGCATCACATTGTCATATAACGACAGAGTCAATAACAAGGGTTTAGACACGACAAGTAAATGATTAAACATATACCAATAATTATTCAATTTACTACACAATATGCTCAAGACTTTTAACTCAATAAAATTTGCACATATAAACCAAGTACGTACTCGTCACCTCGCGTACATGGTTTTCAATTACCCAAGTTGCACATAAGACTCAATGCCTAAGGGAAATTTTCCCCACTCGAGGTTAAGCAAGACACTTACCTCTTTGAAGTTATGCCGATGTTCCAAAATCGCCTTCTTGCTTGAATTGACCTCCTGACAGTTCAAATCTATCCAAATTAATTGTATAACTTCATTAAAATTCATCGGAAACAATTTCGGATAATAATACGTTGACTTAAAAATTTATTCCAAAAGTCAACAAAAGTCAACGCGGAACTCGCCTCTCGGAACCGGACATAATTTTTATGAAATTCGAACACCTATTCCGATACGAGTTCAACCATACCAATTTTATCGAATTCCAATAACAACTCGACTTCCAAATCTTAAATTTTCGCTTTTGGAAGATTTTACAAAAATCTTAATCTTTCCTCCATTAAATTCGAATTAAACGATGGATTCAAAGACATAATCATGGAAATTAATCAAAACTGGATAAGAATCACTTACCCCAAATACCAACGCAAGAATCTCTCCAAAAATCGCCTTCTACCGAGCTCCAACTTTGATTTCGAGTTATGAACTCAAACCCCCATTTTTGGGACTTTTAATTCTGCCCAGATAGGCCTTCTTCGCGTTCGCGACCATTGCCTCGCGTTCGTGAAGGCCAAAACCCAACTGCCTCAAATCCTTCATCGCGTCCGCGACCTCCTCGTCGCGTTCGCGAAGGCCAATTGTTTCTGCCCCATCATTTCCTCTTCGCGTTCGCGAATCCTTCGTCGCGTTCGCGCTAACCAGCTGACCAACTCGTTCGCGTTCCACGCTTCGCGTTCGCGAAGGCCAAATGACCCTAGGCCCCTATCTTCCTTTCTTCTTCGCGTTCGCGTTGCCTAGGCTGCGTTCACGAAAGCTTGCCATGCTCCTTCTTCGCGTTCTCGTTCACGAAGGACAAATCCTCAGCCCCTCAAATTCCTCTTCGCGAACGCGGGACTCCCTTCGCGTTCGCGAAAAAGGAAACCAGACTTCAACAACAGCAGTCCAAACAACTCCAATTTGGTCCGAAACCACCCCGAAATACACCCGAACCCCTCGGGACCCCGTCCAATCATGCCAACCGGTCCCATAATATATCACGGACTCGCTCGAGGTTTCAAATCACATCAAATTATACCAAAAATACAAATCGCACCACAAATCGAACTTATGAACTTCAAAAACTTCCAACTTCTAAAACTCGTACCGAAACCTATCAAACCAACCCGGAATGACGTCAAATTTTGCAGGCAAGTCCCAAATAACATAACGGAGCTGTTCCAACTCTCGAAATCGCATTCCGATCCCGATATCAAAAAGTCAACACCCCGGTCAAACTTTCCAAAATTTTGAGTTTCGCCATTTCAAGCTTAATTCCACTACGGACCTCCAAATAATTTTTCGGACACGCTCCTAAGTCCAAAATCATCATACGGAGCTAACAGAACTCCATTTTGGAGTCTTCTTTATACAGTTCCAACTACAGTCAAAATCCTAAGATTTAAACTCCCTCTTTAGGAACTAAGTGTCCCAAATCACTCCGAATCATCCGTAATTCAAACTCGGCCACACACACGGGTCATAATACATATTGCGAGGCTGCTTGAAATCTTAAGTCACTGAACGGGACGTAAATTCTTAAAATGACAAGTCGGGTCGTTACATTAATCTTGGAATTTTTACCTCTTATAGTAAAGGTTAACACCTTATTTATTTTAAATAAATACTATTTTAAAAAATTATATTCTATAGCTACCTTTTATTGTTTATAGAAAAATATCTATTTATGGTTACCCCCTACCCTTAAGCCATTTATATACGCTATTTATTATTTTCCTCTCTCCTTTTTCAGATTTTTCTCTCATATAATTACCTTATTTGATGTAAACTTCTCTCTCCACGTTCTCTTTCTAATTTCATACACGCCATTCTCTTCCCCCATTCCCAGAAACCACGATTTTGCAACTGAAAATCTCTCTCACCCGTATCGCCTAGCTCTTCCCCATTCTCAGTCACCACGCTAATTTCATACACGTCATCTGCATTGTCTCTCTCAACTTTCATTATTTTTTGCTACAAATAATTGTGGTAAGTATTTAACTTGTTAGAATTTCGCTTGTATTTTGTTTATTCTGTTTATCTCTACTAATTCTTTATAAACAATAACCATTGTTATTATATTCAACAGAAAACTTGAGATTTTCTCTCCAATGGCTGATTCAACATCCCAGAAGAGGGTTACCAGAGGTATACCCACCAAAGTACTTAATTTCGATGGGCCCTCTTTCTCTTTGTAAATCACTCAAGCGGAATTGGAATTTGCAGTATTCAACAGCAAATACAGCTGCAGAAAGAAGAACAAAAATACGCAATGACACATTGAAAGAAGCCCAAGTTGAGAAATCTTCGAAAGAATCAACACTTCCCGTTGCGAAAAAGATAAAAAAAAACCTATGGATGATGTTTCAGATGTCAAGGGAAAGAAGGTCGATGCAAGAAATAGCTCGAATACACGGGACGAAAAGGTAATTGTTGATATATCAATATGTATTTGA